ATGATATTTTATATATTTATTTAATTATATATTATAAATTTATAATTATGTATAATATTATAATATATAACATTTAAATAGACAACGTGTAAAATAATATTTGTTTTCATATATTTTACACTTTTGTCCTTAAAGTATTTCTTTTTGATACACTCTATTCTTGATTTCACATTTTCACTTGCATTTGCTAAGCATCTTCCACGAAATGCACCCTGCTATTACCTAGTGCCTATTTTTTTTTACAGTAAAAGATTCTAAGTTAAGTTAGTATTTATTTTTTGAAAAAATTAAATTAATGATCAACATGCATTTCATTTATTACTCAAACAGTATGACCATCACTGGAGAACATGGGATTGCTTACCTAGTGCCTATTTAAGTTGTTTCTCTCCCTTAGTTATCTCATCAACCCCTCGCATCAGAAGTTGAACCTGCTGCTACTTCTAATAATTTACTTTGCTCGGCCCAAGATGCTTATTGGTGTCCAACTTTACCTATTTCTTCTGCTAATCCTGCATGTAAGTACACAATCTATCTATGTCTTTTTTCTTTGATATATATCTCAGTGATTCTTATGGAGTAATTCATAATTATATTGTTAGATTTAGTTTATGTTTTCTTTTTATTTTTCATATTCTCATTTTAATTGATATTCCATTCGAGGTCTCTCTCCCCATTTTTTTTTTTAATTTTTATGGTCACTGGTCACTTCAAGTAAATTTTTTTTTTTGTCGGAAGTCACTTCAAATAAATTAATGTACAAGTGTTCATCACCTAAATAATGATCATATTTTATTACCAAAATAATAATAATAATAATAATAATCATATTTAAATTATGTTTTTTTTAAAGAAATATCCATCAACATTTATCTATTCTTTGCTGTTTTCTAAATTTTTAGGCTTAATTTATTTCTCAGTGTCAAATTTCTTCAATACCATCTTCTAGACTTACAAGTTTGCAGTTCCATCGATTATGTTCGCTTTGAAGTATAATATGAAAAAGCATGTACTTTTTTATATCTAAATAAATAAATAATTTTCTTAAATGTAATAATCTCATACCCTAGATTTTTACTCCTTGTTTTTGGAATTATTATTTTGAAAACATTTCTCTACCCTAAATCGAATTAATTAAAATAATTTTTAATAGAAATTTCATTTAAACAACATATATATATAATTTTAAGATATTTTTTTACTTAATTTTTTTCTTGTGAGATTCTTATTTTTAGTTTTTAAAAGAATTGTTAGATTCCTCATTGTAGTATTGTTCGATTTTCCCTAATTAATTTATAGCTTCTTAATTGATAATCTTGTGAAGTCTCCCTTTTTTTTTTTAGGCACTTCAAGTAAATTAATATAGAAGCGTATGTCTCCTAGTGATTACATTCGAATCATGTTTTTTCTTTCAGGAAATATCCATCAATCAAGCCGCTCTTTATCAGAAAGAATAGGCTTGCAATTGCAATTAAGAAGATCTATTGTACGCTGCTTATAATCTGCTTGGCCCAACTTGTTTCTATGTCCAATTTCTTGAATACCTTCTTCTTCTAGACCTACAGGTACACAATTCATTCTGCTATATTTTCTTTTTGATGTATAAAATAGAAGTAAAAATATTTTTTCAGCATTCACTACACAATAAAAAGTATCGTTCAGGTAATAAAATTATTAACACATCATTACTGAAACTCCATTTCATATTATTTCATTGATAATGTTTTATGAGTGTAGTCATGCTAAAAAAAATGCTAAATGTAAAAAAGAAACCATTTGACTTGACCAGATTTTATGAGATTTGACCAAGTTTAATTGAGTTTGGTTGAATTTGACTAAATGTTAACCAGACGTTACCTGAAAACTTTTGATCCACTCTAAATTTAACTCTCTCTTCTTCTTTCCTTTTTTATGCTTTGAATTTTGTTCTCAATTCAGCAATTCGCATTTAACGGATCAACTAGAAGTTACTTTTGCACCTTTCATCTAAGGAGGACCTACGTCCAAATATTATGTCCTTCAATTGGCTTTCTCATTGACTGAAGGCAGAGGTGATCTCTTCTCCTCAGTTGGCTAATCAAACTCCTCTCATAAGGAAAAATCAGGCTGCTGCTACTTCTAATTTGGTTGGCGTTGTTCTGTTATCAGTGTCCAACTTGAATTTCTTTCTACTAAACCTGCTCCAGGTACAAACAATACGCTAGCTAACTTTGAACTTCAGTCTTGATTTTGATATATATGTTCGATCTCATTAGAGTTTGAATAAATAAAGTAAAAATATTGAACAGTTTTCAGGTAGATTCATGGGCTTAATTATTAGAAAAGAGAAAAGAAGTTTCATTTTTCTTTAAAATAATATGAAGCTTCATTTCTTGTTAGATTTCTCATTTTTAAAATGGAAATCATGTGGAGATCTTATACAAATAAGTACACAACCTTTTACAACTTTTCTAGTTAAAAGATATGATATTGTTTCATTATCAATCAAGGTTGTCATTTTTTAAAAGCATCTAATCGAGTGATATTTGCAATTTTACTAAGGAACAACTAAGTTGATTGACATACATGAATGGTTATTTTCTTGATTAAAATTTTTTAAAAATAATAACCTTAATTAGTATAATTGTAAAGGTTATATTTCTAGTTAAAAACTTTTAAAAAGTGGTAGTTTTAATTATTAAAGAAAAAAAGTTATATCATTAATCAAAATTTTGTTGAAAAATTATGTTCTTATTGGTAGGAAATCTCTAATCTTGTGTGTGGTCTTTTTGGGGTACTTCCAAGTAAATAGAGACGTTTCTTCAAGTCATCATATTCGTATTTTTTTTTTTCTCATTTTCAAATTTTTTTTCCCTATTGTTGTTGCATTTTTGTCTACATAATTATAAATTTGAGACCAACTTAAATACTTAAAAAAAAAATAACCACTATAATATCTCTTTAAGACCTAATTAAAAATGAATTTGGGTAAAATTTTTTTTAAAAAAAAAAGAAAAAAGGGAATTTGGGTCACCTCTTCTGTGAATTTCTCAAACCATAAACTTTTCTCTTCTTGCAAAAACTGCTAGAAACTGTTTTGCGCAGCTTTCGGTTTTTGCAGGTTATTGCAATTCTTTGCTTGTTTGCATTTTCATTTCTATTGTTGGACCTAATCTTATGGTTCACCTCTTTATTAGGAATGTTAGGCAATGGGAACTCAGTCCCAAATTGAGAATGAGTATGATTGAGATGCTTCTAATTGATTCTGCTTTTTTTTTTTTTGTTCTTAATTAATATGCTTCTAATTTGCTGATCAAATATATACATATATATATATATGTAGAGAGAGAGAGAGAGAAAGGACCCATACCTTGCCTTCCACATTTATCTGCTTCTGCAATGCATCCATACTTTACCTTCTACATTTGTTTTACTAAAATCAACTGGACCCATTATTTAGAGGCTTAATATATAATCTTAATCCTAAACATGGTATTGTAACAGAAAAAATGTGTATCTTTTGTAAACAATTTTTGTTGCGTTCTTAGGAATGACATTTTTTCAAGACTATTTAATATTGTTATGGCTTTCGGTTTACAATAAAGTTGTGCGTAAATTATCCTACCTAATTATTTCTTTTTTTTTTTTTAATCCATATAAAAAATAAATTTAATGACATTACTACTACATTTTAGGAATTCATCTATGGAGAAAGTTATGGAGAAAGTTATTGAGACAGGTGAGAATGCTATAGACCACTACAGCAACCTTGAAGAAGATGCGAATAAGTTGGAAAGCGAATTTCAGGTTCTAAAGAGGAGAAAAATCGACATTAATTCAAAAATAGAAACAGAGGCTCGCTCGCCGCAAGTGGTGAAAGAAGAAGTAAGGGGCTGGCTTGAAGATGTTCAAAAGATGGAAGAAGACATACAAGATGTTCAAGGAAGGGTGTCCAGTGTTTCATGCCTCAATCGTATCAGTCTCGATAAACTCGTGCGTCAAAAAATTGAAGAGGTGAAGAGAATGCAAGAGAGGGGCAATTTCAATGAAGGCCTTGTGATTGAGAGACCTCCAGCTCGTGGAATTAGAATTCCAACAGAAAATATAGAAGGTGAAATTTCTACTAAAGGTGAAATTCAGAAGCACCTGATGGATGACCAGGTTGGAATGATTGGAGTTTGTGGGATTGGTGGTGTTGGTAAAACTACAATTATGAAGCATATTCACAATGATTTGTTGAGGGAGGACAAATTTCAGAAAGTGATGTGGGTTACTGTATCATACCCTCTCAATGTTTTTGCATTACAAAAGAAGATTGCTGATGCTATGAATGAGAAACTCAAGGAAGATGATGAAGAAATGATCCGGGCAGCAGCACTAATGGATATAATGGGAAGTAAGAGTTTTGTGCTAATATTAGATGATGTATGGGAAAATTTTTCTCTCATGAATGTTGGAATCCCGGAACCAGTGCAGAATAAGAGCAAAGTAGTCATCACTACTAGATCTATTGAAGTATGCAAGCATTTGGATTGTAAGATTGTTAAAGTGCAGCCTCTCACCAGAGGAGTCTCAAAACCTATTCCTTAAGAAGGTTGGAGGTGATGTTTTACAAAAAGTTCCAGGATTGGAAGAAACCTTGAAGCTTATTGTGAAGGAGTGCAAGGGCTTGCCACTGGCCATTGTTGTAATAGCAGGGAGTTTGAAGGAAGAATATGATATTGCAGAGTGGAGAAATGCCCTAAATGAATTACGCTTATGTGTAAAAAGTGTGAAATGTGTTGAAGATGAGATATTTGTACGGTTAAGGTTTAGCTATGACCGTCTAAGAGATTCGGAAATCAAAGAATGTTTTCTGTATTGCTCCTTGTTTCGGGAAGATTATGAGTTTTTCAGAAAGATGTTGATTGAAGATTGGACTGATTGTGGTTGATAAGTTGGGAACTAGACAAGCAGCTTATGATAGGGGCCATGCTATTTTAAATCAGCTTCTACAGAATTGCTTATTAGAGCAAGGTGTTGTTGGACATGCAGTTAAGATGCATGATGTTGTGAGAGACATGGCTATAAAAAGCATTGGTTTTGGATGTGGATATATGGTAAAAGCTGGCATGAAATTGAAAAAGGTACCGAATGAGAGTGAGTGGGTAGGAGATCTTAAGAAGGTATCTCTAATGGCAAAT